GTTTTAAATGCATGTGGTGCAAGTAAAAATGTCTCTTTTATAAGTACTAGTTGTGACACTCACGTATTACATGAGTTAATTTAAAAAAAAAGTTAAATATAAAGGTCAAAATATTTGAAAACTTTGAATTTATAAAAAAAAAATAAGAAAAATAATGAATTATTATAATGGAAATGTTTTTTTTATCTTTTAAATTTAAACAAATAATTTAAATAAATAAACAAGAGAAACTAATGAGCTTTAATTTTGGGGATTTTGAAATTTAAATGTAAGTTCATTAATGAAATTGATATCCATTTATTACTACATTTATTGTAATATTACATTAAAATATTACGTGGAATTTAATAAAATAGAAAAACTCATAAAATGACACGTGGAAAAAAATTAATTCAAAATAACCACAAAATGACATTTGGCAAATTGAATGAGAATGTGACAAGTGGCAAAAAAACATTTATTTATTAGAGTAGATAGATAGATAGATAGATAGATAGATAGATAGATAGATATGCTTAGTTCTCCTTCTTATCCGATGTAGGATCAATTGCAAGTGTTCACCCACCTTCACCCCCTTTATAGGGTTCGACATCCATGTCGAACACATTGACTCGTGCCCCAACTCTGATACCAACTTGTAATGTTCCCAAAAATATAGAGTAAAATTTTCATTTTTAATCTACAAAATCCATTCATTGCCATTTCCTCAAAAGATCATCAAAGTAATAAGTTATAGTTTCAAAACATCAAAAACAGATAGTGCGAAAACCTCCAGAGGATGCAATGCAGTGAAGCCTGGCTCTTCCCCTTACTACAAGAAGTACTTGAAACATTTAAACTTAAAGATGTAAACACAAAGTTTAATGAGTTCACAAAGATACCACATAGAACACATAACAATCGGCGCCTCCCTACGAGTATATTTCAACCCTTGTGAATGCTATGGTTCACTCATAGTCTTACAATCACTAACGTTTCTATAGTCCCATTGCAGTCTTTCTTGCTATGGTCCTCACATAGTCTTTCATACAATTTTCATGGTCCCCCTCATGGTCTTCCATACAATTTCATGGCCCCCTATGGTATTTCATGCAATAGTCACAAAGGCAATCTAGCATATCATGACACCAAGTGTCCTACATAGTATAGTGAGAAGACTCGTCTCACCGACGAAGTAGACTAACACCACAACACACAAGAAAGTAAAGGTTGGTACTACACACCACCATATCAGAAAGCATAATTTACATCAATTTGATAAAGATTTTAAATATAACCAATAACCATGGAAAGGACATACCTACCAATTACCAATTTTGCAACAATGAAAACATTTTGTCGAAATCAAGAACCTCTTGGAAACTAACCGAGCTTTATAATGCTCAATATCACCATTGGATTATATTTTATCTTATAAATCCACGTATAATTAATAATTTTTCCACCACTAAGTAGATTGGTAATTTAGTTAGGATAATTAAATTAAATGATTTTTTAACTCTAAGGTACTAGTTATAAAAGATTTAGTAAGGTGAAGTGTCAAAACTAGAACAACTTCTAAGACTGTTAGGTATGGGTCACGCCCATACCCACATTATGGCTGCCACATCATCATCTTCTTCCATAACATCTAAATGAGGGTGGTGTTCATTTTTGGAAACGATATTGAGGAAGGAGAAAAACAGAGGAAGAAGAAAGAAAAACGAGTGATGAGGGGATGATACCCTGGCAACAGGAAGCAACAGGAAACCAGGGGGGTTGGTGGTGTTATAACGGCGTTGAGGTGCCATCACCTCGGCAAAATGGCTTCGGCCGTTGCCCACACCGATCACCCTAAACAATGACAACATGGATTCTAATGAGCAAGTTCTAGTGAACTTTATGTTTAAATAGGTTGTACATATGTTAATGAATGGAAACTATATGTAAGATACTTAAAATCTAGTTTAGGATATTAGAATAACTTAATATAATGGATTATTTATGTTGTTAGAAATGTCTAAGTCCTCCTAAAGTGTAAACTAAGTTCAAAATTAAGAATTATGTCAGATATGTTCCAATGATCAGGTTTATATAAAATTTATGTTTAAAATATTCATAATATATTGGAGAATGATAATTATAATCGTGAAACTATATTTATGCAAGAAATGGTAAAAATGAGTGGAAAAAATGGGAAATCTTATGAAGATACAAGAATAATGAGATAATGTGAAATGAGGCTTATATTACTTACTTTTGGTTCGGTTTGTAGCTAAGACAAATAGAAACGAGTAGCAAAAATCCTTCATAATAAATAAAAATAACTCTCATTTGTCCTCTTTTAATGCATTGTGTCATATGACTTTTTTTTTTTATTATTTTCATTTTATATTTTTTCCATATACCATTTTATGGTTTTCCATTTTATTAAATTCCACATAATATTTAAATGTAATAATAAATACATATTAATTTTATTAATGAACTGTAACATCCAAAAATCCAAGACCAAATATTTCATTTTTAATTTAACAATTCATAAAACAGATTATGAAAAACATCATCGAGTTATCTCATTTCATAAAAACCATAGATCATATGGCTCAAAAGAATGTCATAAGATAATAATAATGTCAGAGTACAAATCCCAAGAACATCATTGTCCAGAAAATCGTGGTGTGATGCGTTGTTATCGTGCCGGCTCCTTTCCCTTCGAAGAAGGACCTGAAACAAAAACTGAAAACCGTAAGCACAAAGCTTAGTGAGTTCCCCCATCATACCACATATCATACAAAAAAATATTGTCAGGCATATCTGGGTGCCCGACCTACCCTGCTGAGCATACCGGGGTGCTCAACCTACCCATGTCAGACATACCGGGGTGTCCGACCTACCCCTGTCAGGCATATCTGGGTGTCCGACCTACCCTCCGGTTTATCTCAACCGGTTACGGGGACTATTTCACCCCTACCACTACCACATAGTAACATATCATAAATATACTGCTAGGCATGAATGAGTACTATCTACCCCTTCGGTTTCTTTCAACCGGTAACTGGGGACTATTTCACCCCTCCTACCACTATCACATAATATCATAGCATTCTAGCACATAAAGCATAACAGATAGTGGCATACCAGACAATTATCACAAAGACAATCGTCTTAACTACAAACAATTACTAGTGGGCCGACATTGGTGCCTACGACCCACTTTTACTGGAAGGTAACTCACCTCAATGTCGTGTAGTAGCTGAACTGTCCTTGGCTCTGGAATCAACTCCTCTCAAACTCTTAGACATAGCAATCTCCTTTAATTACTCTTTCATACTCATAATCCCATTAAGGGTCAACTCTGGTTAAAGTCCAAGTCAAAGTCAACATCCTAGTCAAATTCAACATTCTGGTTGACTCAACTCGTCGAGTTGGTCCATCAACTCGTCGAGTTCCATGAACCATAAATCCTGAAATCGCGATCCAACTCGTCGAGTCCTCCCTCAGACTCGTCAAGTTCTTCCTTATAACAGAATTGAGACTTTTCACTATAACTCGTCGAGTCCTTCCTTGAACTCGTCGAGTTCTTCACTCTTCGAAACCCCTGAATCCTTAGCCAACTCGCTGAGTCATCTCCTAGACTCACCGAGTTTGCTCAGTTTTCAGAAAAGGTTGGGGACCACGACCCAACTCGCCGAGTTGAATGAACAGCTCGTCGAGTCCCCCTTAGTCTAAATCCATTCAGTCACTTCCAAACGAGTTCAATGCTTCCAAACCATAGATATGGTCCCCTAAAGCTAATATCTTTTGTAAAGTTGCTAACTTTCCTTCCATGGATGGCCTTTTGTAGCTTAAAAGACCAAAATTACACCTTAAAGCTTGCATGGGGCTTCCATGACCATAAAGTTTGCACCTTTATGCCATGAAACCCCTTCTAGACCCCAGATCTGGAAGAGTGATCACTTGGGACGTCCAAGTCTCAAAAGCTAACATTCTTGGACCAAAAACCCCATAAAAGCGAAATGAAGAGATCTAAGAAATCATGGAGCAAGTTTGAGGCTTGCTTAACCGAAAATACAACAAACGAAGTGAAGTTTATGGATCTACTCTCTTCTTCTTGAGTCCTCTAGCTTCATCTTCTTCCACAAGCTTCAAAAACACAATTTTTCTCTCAAAAATGTCTCACAAGTTCACACAAGGCTCTAGGGATTCGTGGCTAGAGTTTTGGGACTTGGAGGCTGTAAATGAGGTCAACCATTAGGGATTAATGTGTTTAAATAAAGTGCAAAACCCTGAAATTAGGGTTTCACTTTGTCAGCCCTACTCGTCGAGTTGGGGCTCTCAACTCGCCGAGTATGTTTCTTCACCCGCGTCCCAAAATAATCCCTACTCGACGAGTTTGGGGCCTCCAACTCGTCGAGTTCTCATATAAAAGTGAATAAATTTTATTTAAAATACATACCAGGAACCGAGCGTTACATATTAATTTTATTAATGAACTTTCCTTTTAATTTCAAAATTATTGAATTAAAGTCTCATTAATTTCTTTTATTTATTTTTTCTAAATTATTTGTTTAAATTAAAAAAAATCCTTCAATTTTAATATTCAATATTTTTCTCACTTCTTCTTTTTATAAATTCAAACTTCAAATGTTTAGAATTATATAATAAACACAATTGGAGTTGAAATCAGACAATTAAAGAGCCAAAAAAGAAAATCGTCTATGCTCGGTCCACACATCAACATGCATTGGGCATACACGGTCCGTATTGATCATTGATGGAATGACATTAGGCCAACATAAACAACTTGATTACCAACATTTTTGCTAAGACATAAAAGATAAGGTAAATAACAATGTCCTTAGAGTAACAAAGAAAGCTGTGCGATTTCATTTATTACTGTTAGGACAAGTATGCAAAAAACAACAAAGAATACTATATTTATGTAAAGTTTTTCATTATTCATCATAATAACACCCCTCATATGTATAGCATTAAAGCTAAACCCCAACCATATCGACTCATTCCCGAGCCACGACCACGACTTGCTTGCCAACATTTTTTCCCGAAAAAAGCCCGACCAAAGCTGCAGGTGCACTCTCAAGCCCCTCTACAATATCTTCAATGTAACATACCTTCCCTTCTTTTATCAATGGTATAACCATTTCCATGTACTTTGGAAGCAAATTAAAATGATCACTTACAATAAACCCTTTTATATGAAGTCGTTTCATTATTATGCTTGACAAATTCCTCACACCCTCCTCTTGATTTAAGTTGTACTGTGAGATCATCCCACAAGCCGAAATCCGTCCATTTACTCTCATATTTAAAAGCACCGCCTCCAACATTTTCCCACCAACGTTCTCGAAGTATATATCAATTCCTTTCTGGAAAGTACCTGATATTAATCAGAAAAACAAAAGAATATATATAAAAAATATTACTCTTTATATTGGGTGACAATTATAGTTTTTGTTTGGGCTAACTAACCTTTTAAGAGCTGCATCAAGATCTTGCTCGTCCTTGTAGTTAAAAGCCTCATCAAATCCAAATTTATTCTTCAACAGCTCAACCTTAAATGACATGATTTTGAGAAACGTATTCCAATAAATAAATCATCATATAAGGGAAAATATTTCCATTAATCACCTTTTCTTTTGTTCCAGCACTTCCCACAACATAACATCCGGTCAGCTTTGCAAACTGCCCAACAAGCTGACCGACTGCCCCCGAAGCGGATGAAACAAAGACATACTCTCCTTTCTTTGGAGCACAAATCTCATAGAAGCCATAATAAGCAGTCATACCAGGCATACCTTGAAAAAACAATCAAAGAAACAAAATCATATTACAGAATTCAAGATCGGTACTTTACAGAATCTTAAAGCTACTTAATTAAACAGAAAACATACCAAGGATTCCTGTATAATATGAAAGAGGGACATCTGTATCTTGAATCTTGAAAAGGGTCTCCGGAGTAGTGATAATGGTGTATTCTTCCCATCCAGTTCCTCCCCAAACTAGGTCACCTTTCTTGAAGTTTGAATGCCCAGAATCTACAACTTTAGCCATTCCTAGTCCTGTTATTGGCTGCAACATGAAAACACAAGCAAAAGATTGGGTGCTACAGTTCATTTTGAATAGAAAAGCACAATCCTAACGACAAATTGTTCAATTGTCAAACTGTTTTCCCCTAAAATGCAAAAAAGAAAGTGAGAAATGAGAGTGTAATTCATACCGAACCAGGAGTGAAGGGTTCGAAGTAACTGCCTTCAGTTTTGCTCATCCGACCACGCATGTAAGGATCGCAGGAGAGATAAAGGTTCTTGAGGAGGACGCCATTGGAACCTTGTGGGAGCTTGAGGGGGATGGTGGTGGAAGTTTTAAGGAGCATGTCTGATTCCTTGGGGAAGCCATTAACGTAATCCTTCAAGATCACCTGTTGATTTTTCACTTCTTCCATTTGCTTGCAAAACAGATTGCTCTGGAACCACCGTGAATGTGAGTGGATTGGGAGAAATCAAATCGAATGTGACTATGTGAGGTGCACATTGGCGGACCCACAAGCTTCTCGATTGGTCTGGAAACAATCTAGTCTTTTGGAATCGGCTTTGAAAGGTTCTGTCTTTTTTATGGACTTGTCTTTTTTTCGTACACCCATCTTTTTTCGATCTCGCTGTCTTTATGTACATCTTTTTCGGTTTATATTCATGGTTTTCAGGTTCAGTTTTAGTATTTTTTTTTTGTCTTAAAATTTTCCATTAACTAATATTAATACTCCATGATTACCACGTCAAAATGATATATTAAGATTTATTAAAAATAGAACACTAAAACTTAATTAAAACAAAACAAACGAACTTGTAATGTGTGATTAACAAATATGTAACTAACGCAAAATGATATGTATATAAACTATGTTTTTTTTAGATTGATATTGAGTTGTAACGCAAAATGATATGTATATAAACCATGCTTTTTTTAAGATTGATATTGAGTTGGCCTTAGTGCATCCATAATGCACATCATCTTTCTATAATTCGTACAACTCTATCATTTTTTTTTACAATCATTAAACTCTACAAAGTTTAATAGAATGTTACAAACTGTAATTTATAGTAAATATTTAAAAATGAAAAACATTTTTTTCCCCATTGAAGAGTTCAATGGCCACTGAACTCAAAATCCATGGAATGCCAAAGTCGCAATTTACAGATGGCAAAAAAACTCATACCCAATGCGTACCCGAAACCCTAACCCAATTTGACCGGGTAAATCCCCGAGTTGACCGGGGATGGGGATGGTTCTATCTGTCGGGTACCCATACCCATACCCGAAACCGGTCCCGATGGGTACCTGATATATATATATATATATATATATATATATATATATATATATATATATATATATATATATATATATATATATATATATATATATATATATATATATATATCTATAGGGAAAAGATCAAATGAGAACACCTAAAATGTTGAGAACGCAAGAACAAGCATATTCATTTGTGATTTCATCTATTCATTTGTGGAGAAATGATAAATTTTACGCACAATCAACATGAATATGTTTTTTCTCTTCAATTGGAATTAAAGGCGTAAAAATTTATCATTTCTCCACAAATGAATACATGGAATCGCAAATGAATATACTTTGTTCTCGCGTTCTCAACCTTTTTGGTGTTCTCATTTGATCCTACTCCTCTATATATATATATATATATATATATATATATATATATATATATATATAGAGAGAGAGAGAGAGAGAGAGAGAGTTAGGTTCAGGTGTTTAAACTAATTATTGTGTTATTGTATGCATAAATATGGGTCAATCAAAATTTAAAATATAAATAATTAATTAAATAAATAAATAAGGGTAATTAGGTAATTTTATAAACAACTTCCCCAAATACTTTCCTATAGTTATGCAAGTTGATTTTAACCTAATTTATCCCATTTTAATTACCACCGACGTCACTTTGAAAAACCCCCCGTAGGATTCGATCGAAAGTGAACAAGATCGACTTCGTCTTCGTCTTCATCTGATCAGAAAGGAAAGACGAACAAAAGCAGGCAACGACTCGGTGATCAGTGGTGGCTATTATCAACAGCGGTGGAGTATCGTCATCGTCTTCGCCGATTGAAAATCTCGTCATCGTAATCACACTTTCAACTCTCCTGCTGGGGATCCATCGTTTATCTGATTTTTCAGACGCAACGGCATTATTTTAGACTTCCGATTTAACCCTATCAGAGGAGAGTGGATTCTCGGCCTCGCTTCTAAAAATTGATTGAATCAGATTGGTTCCAGTCGACAGGCAGTGAGAGTGGAAGAATTGCTTGAGGATCAATGCTTTGTGATTTTGAGAAGTTAGTCGGTGGAGGAAATATGAAGTAGGGCAGGCGGAGGCAATGAATTAGAGGAAAATAGCGGCCGATCGGAGGAGTGCCACGCAAAACGGCTTGAAACTGCCGCCGACTCAATATCAGGTACTATATATAAGCCTAACTTGAAATTTATTATATATATAATTTTACATTAGCAAATCAAAAATGATTTTGGATAATGGAAGCTAGCAGTAAACTGTTTTATAAGTAAAAAAATGGTGAATGAATCGTTATACAGATCAAGAAGAGATAAGCATAAAGCAAGTGAAGCACTAGAAAACCCGATTATTCAACTTAGATAAAGCACTAGAAACTAGTTATTTTTGGTTCATTTTTTTGTTTCTTTTTCATTGTTGGTTGCTATTGTTTTATGTGGCAGATTATTTTGTCAGTTGGTATGTAGTGTATTCAATGGATGATATTGGTGAGATTCCAATTCTATTGGAATGGAATCACGAATTCCAATTCTGTTGGAATGGAATCATGAATTTTAATTCTGTTGGAATGGAGTATGGATATTTTCTCACTGATTTATGCATGTTCTACAATTATTGGTTATTGGTTTTGGTGCAATTCACAAGTCCACATATTTTTCCAAAGAAATTTAGTTTTTTATTTTTCATTTTCTAATGCATTATTGGAATCTAAACTACAATTTGGTTTTGTGTTCACAGAAGTTGATGCTTGAAGAACGGACCACAAAATTGAAAGTGGTTCTAAGCAACATTATTCTTTTAGAATGTATTAGTGTCGTTGTTAGATTTTGATGTTTTCTTTTCCGTGTTGAAAGTTTTTTTAGTTTTATTCTTTAACAATAAATGTAATTCTTAACAATTGTTACCCGTATTCTATAAGAAATAATGTATTTTTTGTTTTTATTCTTCAATTGATTGTTCAAGAATTTGTTATTCTACAAGAAGTTTTTAAAGTCATGATCAAGACATAGGTTCAAGAATATTTTTATTATTTATGGTTCAAGAATATTTTTTTTAATATACTCATAAACATATTCTGTCAGAATGTTTGAATTAAAAGAATTATAATTCGTAAAATTGGATTTTAAAAATTAATAGAATCTATGATCCCTTAAAATATGTAATTTTCCTTTATGAAATCTATATTAATTGTCTAAAATACCCTTGTAATTAATTTAGATGATATTTTTCAATTATATTTAATTCAATAATATATATTAATCACTTTCTTAAAATAAGTAAAATTGATTGGCTCATATTTATGCATACAATAACACAATAATTACTTTGAATAGAATAACCTAAGCCTATATATATATATATATATATATATATATATATATATATATATATATATATATATATATATATATATAGGGAAAAGATCAAATGAGAACACCTAAAAGGTTGAGAACGCGAGAACACTTCTGTGCTAATCATTTTATAAGGGTAAATTAGACATTTTTCATTTAAATTAAATTTTAACATATTAATATTAAATTATGAGTTCCTTAAATCTAGCGATAATTAAAGTAACTACCTAAAAAATGAATTAATCATTTTTTTTCTTTTTTCGTTAATAAAAATATTTTTTTATCAGATTTCTTTTTTTAAAACGAGACTTTTGAATATTCATTCTTTTTTTAACTAACTATTTTCAAAAAAAAAAAAACAATATTTTTTCATTTGATTTATACAAAATCTCATTTAGAAGTGAACAGTAAACAATATAAATTTACCAATTTATTGAATTAGTTTTCTTTAATCATATTTTTTACAATTATATTCAAACATGAATAAATATATATTGTTGTTTATGAATACAATTGTAATCATAAATTAATAAAACAAAATATGGAAATCAAAAATCAAATACAATTGTAACTATAAAAGATTAAAACACTTCAATTATATTCGGAAAACAACAAACAATGTGGTGAATAAAGTACTAATGCTATATTCATAAATGATGAAACACTTCATAAATGACTATATATATAAAACAATTATATTCATAAATGATTAAAACATTTCGTACATGACTATGTATATATAACAGTTATCTTCACAAATGATAAACACACTCCAGAAAAAAAAATCGCAACAAGAAATATAAAAATAGAGATCCCAAGTGCCCATCTAACACATGAAAATTCATCACGTTCGTTGCACTTCGTTCTTCCTGTTACATAGTGAATAAGCCAAAAAACAACAAATTAATACTCAAATGAAAATGATTATAATCAAATACAAATGCAAAACCACAAACCTAATGTATTTCCTGTCATTTTAATCGTTAGTGAATAAGATTATAAAGAAATCACTTACCATGCATTATTCCAAATTCTAATTCATGTTTTAATCATCTATATGATTATATAACTCTATTCCTTATCATAGAACTAAATCTATGATTAGTAAAAGAAAAACAAACACTAACAGTAATTCCAAAACCAAATATTAATAATGATACTTCAAAAAAAGAGATCAATTGTAGATAAAAGAAAAAAATGAATAAAATACATCAAAATAAAGTTAATACAAGAGAAGAGATGTTTGGTTTTTTATGGACATCTACTTATTGTTATAAACTGAAAAGCAGCAGAAGCACCAAAAGGCAAACATGTTGATTCCTCTTTTCTTAATTCACAACACCCAAAACAAAATTCATCAATTCAAAATACACAGTCTATTAGCTTAGTAATCAATCCTACGATATTTTAAAAATAGATGCTAACTAAAATCAATGATGCAAATTCAGGTGGGCCTTCCAAAATTATAGAATTAAAAATGAAGAAAATAGGATGTGTGTATACCGGTGATGGGAAGGACGGCGGAATAGGTCTGATAGTCAGCGAACCTTGGGTGTGGGAAGATTTTGACGAATGGCGAGTCACAAAAAACCCTAGTTCCTCAATTCTTTTCAGATTATCGTTAGGGAAAACGGAACAATCTATCACTGCGATTAAATGGGTTGGGGTGATACACACACCACCATGGTGCGATGTTCTGAATATGACTGCCACAAACGATGGCTAAGGGAGGAAGAGATCACGGTATGTAATCGGTGACTAGAGCAGAATCGATGCACGACTAGAAAAGCTGATTAAACCATAAACCCTTGATTTGGCGACTTGTGATGGTCTGATTAGGGTTGCGACACATGATGGTGCTATGTAGGGAGGTTGTGAGAAGAATAAATTATGGA